ATATATGTATATATATTCACAGTGAGTAAATAAAGCAAAAACAGGGCTGAAAATAACGACATTGGACGGACTCGGGAAATTCAGTACCTGTTGGGCTGGGCCACCCATCTCTTCTGCACTTGGACAGTTTCAGGCTCACAGGTACAGTCTCCACTGTAGCTTTTCCTGTTTACAATGTAATCCCAGAAAGGCCCTGGGCCAGGATTTATGTTCCTCCTAGGAAACTATTTCATTCTGACACTGAAGTACCAGAGGGGCTGCTTGATCTTCCAGAGGGAAACACAAAAAGCCACAAGGCATCTCCTATGGCATTGTTTCTTGGGAGGGAGCGGTGGGGTAATGGTGATGTCTGCCAGGCACAGCCCAAGTCGAGAAATGTGTCAGGGTTTACATTGCTTTCTAAAGAGTGCAGTGAGAAAGTAAGGCAGGGCAAACAGGTGGTAAGGGCAGGAAATCCCTGAGGCACTGTCTTAGCGCTCTCTCAGAGTTTTCTCTTTTTGTGAGTCTCTCTCTCTCTCCCCCTCAGCTTCCCTGCGAACCTTCCAGAAATAAGTTAAAAGCCTAAGAGAACAGTTAACATCATGTAGAAACGAAGGGAAAAAAAGTTCTCACAGGATGTTCACCTTTGAAGTCTGAAAATTCAGCACTGTTTGCTATGACTCCATTTGAAATAACATACTCTAAACATCTGTTCATGTACACACACACACTATGAAACAGTCAGGGAATGAGTGTCAACTGAAGAAACACATTACGAGAGTTATTCAAAAAAAAAGCTAGGCTAAAAACCAGGAAGTACAAACTTTAAACTGTAGGAGAGAAAAATATGAAATGGACCTCTGACATTACCAAATGCAAACTCGATTTAATGGAACAGGAAACTGAGGCCCGGAAGACCAATGTCCTCCAGCCGGTCAGTATCTAGGTAAGTCTGTGCAGCCAACACTTGAGACACCAGCTCATCTTTTTCTACCCAAACAGTAGCCAGTGTCACTGAATTATGCCTTAAAGAAATTCTTTCCACTTCCTAGGAGATGGGCCTACATAAAATTTGAGGTTATTTTCAGAAATATAATAGTCTTTCACGGTCTATGGAGAAGATGGGTCTCAATTACTTTGCTATTGCCTGCATTTATTTATTTAAAATAATGTAAGAATACTTACAATGAGAGACAATGCTGGGTCAAATGGGAAATACATTATTAAATCTGGTATGGATCCTGCTTTTAAGGACTAATAGGAAAAACAAGGCATGCGCCAAAGTAACCGTAATACCAGGCAGACAACAGTCAGGAAGCGAAAAGAGACGTGCAGAACTGAGTGCTGTTACTCTTCGCCAGGAGATGAATGAAGTGAGTTGGAGGCATCCTGAAACTGGATGAAGGCACCCAGAGAGGCAGGGGCATTCTAAGCTCTAGACTGTGGAATCACAAGCAAGACAGTAGCAAGCACAGGTACATAAAGTTCAGTTTCCCAAAATAAAGCATACAAATTGGAGACTTGGTAGACTGAAAAACAGGAAAGGCAAATTTAGTCTAGCATGTATAGCTAGGAAAAGTTTCTTTTTTTCTTTAGTCTTACAGTCTAAATGGAACCATTCATTTATCCATTATATAGAAAATTTAAGCAATATCTTAGTAATGGGAAAGAAAATGAGATGCAAACCTGAAAAATACATGTTATGTTCCTCCAAAGGGCTTACCCTACACTGGCAGGGACAGCTTTGTCACCAAGGATTGCCGTTAAAAGTGTACAAAATGTCATGATCATAAGCAGAGGGTCCCACTGGAGGGTATGACTAGATTAACGAAAAATTAGATGTTAGTCAGCAAGATGTCTCTAAGAAGGAAACGGTGAAGAGCGTTAATAGTTTGGACAAAGAAAGGAATACACGTGTCCAGGAAATAATAAAACCTGTTAAAAATACCTGAGGGTGTGACAAGTACAAAGTGTTCAGAATACACACAGCAAACAGTAAGCAGTATGGCAGAACAGGGCTGAAATAGGGCAGGGCCAGCAAAGAATCCACTGTACCAAGCAACTCCAACTACATTAACCCAAAGCCGTGGGTTAAATTAAAAGGATGTCCAAAAGTAGGCATCAAAAATATAAATTTGGCAGCACATGCAGAAAAGACTGGAAAGCAGAAGTATTACTCCAGAATCTAGAAAAAATGGTGCAGAGGGCCAACCTGGCTAGCTAAAGTAGGAATGTCATAAAGACAGATTCATTTTGTTTGGAAAACCAGGAACTGGGGAATAAAGGAAGATGTTAGGCACTCCACACTGCAAATGGATCCAGCAAGGCTGAGCAGTAGAAAGCAAAGCAGGAAACCTCTGGGGGGAAAATATGTGACAGGAAAACATGAGCAGAACCAGTAGAGAAAGGAGGAAGCCTGGGCCCCCAAAGGCAGCTCAGGAACAGAAGAGGGAAAGGCCTGGACTGAGAACAGGTGCAGGAAGAGAAGGCTCTGAGCAGTGACAAAGATCCTGATGCCATCAGTAAAGCTGCGTCAGGAGAGGACGGAGCAGAGGGCAAACTCGAAGACATTACAGATGGTCAGGCTGGAAATGCAGATTACCTTCCGGGGCGTGAAGAACTCTAACAAGGGAGGAGGAAGAGGCTGCTAATCTGGGAAGCATGGTGAGCTTTTGAGGAGATGTGATAAGGGTTGCAGGTCAGAAGAAAAGAAAAAAAGAACTCTAAAGGGGAAAGGAGTTTAACAGTCTTTACTGGCAAGAGGTTCATATTTCCCAACTTGAATGTGTAAAGCAAATCATTTCTTTTGCTTTGCTTTTAAAGATCAAGAACTTCAATCTGCCATCTTCTAAATGGTGGAGACTTTCAAATATTTGGAGTTCACTATTAAATCACACTTCAGCCTTTACCTGCAGAGTAAAATACTAACTCCTCAGTTCTTTCCTGTGAGTTTGATGTTCCAAACTGTCTTCGTGACTTCTCCTTTGTGCCTCTCTCCACATGCTACAGAGCTCCCTTTGGAAAAAATCCAAAAGAGGGTCCAACCATGTAAAAAAGGATGAGCCTAAATTGAGGTTTATAAAGAGGTAGTTCTATTTTGCCAATGGAGGTCACTGGCAAACTCATTTTGTACATTTTGTTTTCAGAACAAAGTTACTTTTCCGCTAATTAAATCACGCTGGACAGAAAAGGAGCTACTCTGATCAAAATGAAGGTGAATAAAATAGAGTCCAGCCACTGGCCTGTCCATCCTCATTGCACAGAGGCTGTGAATGTTCCTTGGGGGCCGCAGGAGTCTGAAAACCCCTGTCAGCACATTCTGGTCTCTGTGCCCAGGTGTTCCAATCACTGTTTAAACCACAGTACGATACTGCTGGATACTGGCTGTGTTTTATCAACTTCTAACATTTCTCACTAAATACCTATGCAAGCTCCCTCTCTCTGATACCACAAAGCACGGTCTCTGCACCAGACAGCACTCTCCCGAATCCTTCCCCTCTCACATATTATGTGGAATTCTGACCACAAGCTCCCACCCATTCCCCACCTCTTCTACACAGCTTCCCCTCAGCTGCACCCTAAAAGGGAACAGCCTCTAAGCCAGGTCACTGTGGAGCACAGAAACAGAACACTGACCTTAAACACACTGGGCTCCAAAGGAAAAAAAAAAATGTTTGTTGACATTTTTTTTCTTCCAAGAAGTTGTTGAAATGAATGGAACTCCTCACCTACTAAATAGACCCCAGAGCACCGAGCTACAGAATGTGTGTAACATCAGTACAAAGTGACAGAGAAGAATCTTAGGAAGGGTATTTGTTCATTCTGATACTAACCTAATAAATTTAACAGCCAGGCCCAGGTCAGCTATACAACAAGTTCCATTTTTCTTCACCAGGATGTTCTTGCTTTTTAGATCTCGATGGGCGATCGCTGGTTTGCCTTGAGTACTAAAGATTTCAGTGTGTAAGTGGCACAGGCCACTGACAGAGGAGTAGGCTAATTTCAGCATTGATTTGGTGTCCAGGGTGGTGGACTTCAGATAATCATAAAGAGAACCGTTTTCATGATAGTCTGTGATGAGGTACAACTGGGTCCAGGACCCTGTCCCTTTGATATCTGCAGCAATGAACCCTAAAAGGAAAAAAAGACAAAAGGATTGGAGGCATTTTTGAAATATAATCAGGAATAATTCCTACTCTCTAATCCTATTCGTTCTTGATAGATGTCTTCTGTTCAGCATTCACCTTGTTTCTTCATTATGCCTATGGCGGGGTTAAATTAGGAATACCAAAGAGACGTAATCAAAACTGCAGGGATACAGAAAGATTAAGAATTTGTATCTGCAAACAGGACACCTTTCTGATCAGCAGTGGATATGTAAATCCCTTTACAGTATTACAGTTACATGTGAGACGCTGTTTATAAAACTGTCTGAAGGCATACACACACTGATTAGCTTTCCCTCCTTCTACTTGAATGATCCAGACTGGTCAAGTCTAGCCAGAGAAAACAAGGAGTAAATCAATTCCCAACACAAACTCTTGCTATAAGTAAGCCCTATTGATAAAATGCTTCTAACTTTGCACAACATTTAAACAAAAATACGCTCCTTCAAATCCCTAAGAGCGCTTTAAAAATTCTTGTGTGGCATTAGCAGTTCCTATCTCTGAAGAAAAGACATCTGAGAGCACCCTCTTCCCAGCACGCATTCCCGGAAGTGCCTTGTTCACTGCCCCTGTGTGGCTGCCCATTAGCATCACATGAGGCTCATGGACTGATACCAAGGAGGAAACGTGTGCATGTTCCATAACCAGTCCAGGCAGATGAATTAATACTCGGATGTTAACAGAAAAACAGAAGAAAGCTAGCAAACCACCCCGCCCCACCGTGCCACACAGAATTCACTCACCCAAAATGTTTTCATGCCTCATCAGCACCGTCTGGTATATCTCCGTCTCCCGGAACCAGCTGGCCTCCTCTGTGGTGAAGAACACTTTCACGGCCACCTTCTCCCCACGCCACCTCCCCATCCAGACTTCCCCGTAGCGGCCCTTTCCAATCTGCTTCACCATCTGAATCTGCTTCGCTATCGTTCTTTGGACCTGTTAAATCCCCAAACACTCTGTTAGGGTATTTGCAGCACTAAAGATTTCTTTAATCGTTCTTTTCTCCAGAGAACTAATAATTAATGCATATAAAATATATTTAGTCAGTAATTTTCTTTGTATAGACAAGTTACTTGTATTTATTAACTTACGCTGTTCTCTTTCAAATGTACTTGAGACTGGGCATTCTGAATGCTCAAAATATTGTTTCCACATTAGCAAATATTTCATTTTACCCATTATCATTTTCATAAAGGAAAATTCTGAACACATTCGCAGTAGGTGGCAGAAAAGAATACTCTCACTTTCACCATCATAATTGGGTATTAGAGATTCTGGAAGAACTTTGCCACCATATAATTAATCATGGACACAAGAAAACATCAAAATTAAAACATGCTTTTGGGCACACAAGGAAAAAAAGAAAATGTCCAAGCAGGGAAAAGAAAAGGAAAAAGGGGAAAAAAGAAGGAAGGGAAAAAAACCCAGGAGGAGGAAGGAAAACAGTTGAGACCAGAGTAGAGAACAATAATCATTAAGTGCATACAAAAGACAGGCTCCTGCCTGGGATGAGAACAGTATCTTACATGGATTCAGAGTCTAAACTTTGACCCCTTTAAAACTAGAAGAACTTAACCTAACACTTCTTGGGACTATCAAATAGTACTACATTTGCAGTAGGTTGGTACCATACCATGCCTCTTGGGGAAAACAAACTATAAATCCTTTCCCAAGGAAATCTTTTGTAGCACACTTTTCACTCCAAAAGTGCATTCTTTATGGTTCTTTATGGGATGAGAGTACTTTGAAGGAGGTCAGCCATCAGTAAAAGTTGATCATGGGTGCAATATAAAAACTGTAATACACTGGTGGGCTCACAAGGAAGAAAACAAAGGAGGGAGGGAAAGGAACAAAATAAATGTGGGGAGAAAAAGAAGGAAGAATCTGAGAGAAGAGTTATAGAAAAAAAACACCTTAAAACAAAAGGAAACTGTTACTATAAGTGAGTCAAGAAAACCAATCCACCGAGATTTTAAAACCTTCAGATTATATATTGCAGTTGACAGAAATAAAACATCAAATAACTACATGAAATATTTAAGAACTTGAAGATGCAATGAAAAATATGCATGAAGGAAGGGATTATTGAAAACTACACTTTTCAGGTGAAAGAGTTGTCAGTCAAAATGCAAAATGGCAGATTAAAGAGAATAATTAAACAATGTTAACAAGTTGGAGAGAAAGTTACTTAAGCTATGAGACAGCTCCAAACAACCATAAAGAATGCAGCACAGACAGAAAATATAAAAGCTAAGGAACATCTAAGTCCATTGTTTATGCATGTAGTATGATTTTCCCATCTGCACTTACAATAAAATATTTTAAGAACACTAAAATCAACAATTCCATGAATGAAAGGGCTGCTAAACATCTCTGTCAATTCACATAATTTGGAAGACAAACATAAAGAAGCTAGGTTAAAACTCTTATAAAATCTGATCAGAAAACTGGAATGTGCTCTTTTTAGAGATACATTTTATGTCAAGTAAAAATTTAGTTTTTCTTTTTGTCTTTGCACTTTTAAGAACCACAGAATTACACCGGGCCAACCAAAACACTCTTACCTCACAGACAACTAAGCAGCAGCCTTAACTATCCATGGTCCTGGAAATAACAGATTTTACCAATTAGGATAGGGACAGTGAGGGGCATTATTCTGTTTACCATAGGTGTCTACCAATTAGGATCAGTTCTTTTTTGTTTTTTTTTTCCAGAATGCATGTGTTTTTTCAACATAAAAGGTAGTGCTACTTGCTGTCAGAGCCACTACTGGCACTGGTATCAGATAGAAAGTGTTTTGGAAAAGGACAGTTATCTGTCTCCCAGAAAAGTTTGAAAAGGGGGCTGCAGATATAGCCCGGTGATAGAATGTTCCTGGGTTCAACCCTCAGTGCTGCAATAACAAAACAAAGAACACGCTACAAAGCTTGAAGCTGGAAAAGAGCAGGCGAGTGCAGGCTTCCTCCCTCCCCACCCTCACACTGCCAGCTAGGTGGCCTTCTGTACTCTCCTGGCCTCACACAAGGTGACAGGAGCTCCTGGTTCTCGAAAGCAGCCTGGAGCCAATTACACAGCAGCTAAATTACTCACTTGAGAGGAAACTTTCCACACTTGCGGAAGAAATATCATGTTCAAGGCTCAGATGTTACAAAGCCTTGCTCCTGTCAATCCAGGGAACATTTCTATCATAAAGAGTTTGCATCTGCTTCTTTTCTAATGATATTATCTCTTCCTCCCTGAAAGTTTTGACATAATTGGCAATGCTGCATAGCACAGAAACAACTTATCACTAAGACTAAGAAGTATCACTAAATCATATTCAAAAATTCAAAGAACACTTTTACTTTGAGTTTAATGACAAAGGATCAGAAAATATAACTTGAAAAATTGAAAATCTTTTCATTTGATTTAGCACATGTTTCTGGTCTTTCTGTACCTAACTTTTCATCCTATGTAACATTCTTAAATATCAATTTTTATTTTTTCAGTTCTGGGAAACAAACTCGGGACCTTGTGCTTGTGAGAAAGGCGGTGGCAACACGGAGCTAAATCCCTGGATCTGGCTATCAATTCTTAGAAGTCTGATTGTACAATTAAAATAGACCCCAATGATGAATGTAACTCTACTGTACACCTAAAATGTACCAATAAACTCAATGAGAGGAAAAAGTGTCCTGTAGTACTTTGGGTCTGAAAGCGTCCCTTGGTGTCCCTCTGTGGAGGGTCTGAGGCTCTGTCCTCTGGGAGGTGGCGAAACTAATAAGAGGTGGAGCCCCAGGGGAATTTTAGGTCATGGGGCTCTGCTGTCAAGGTGACCGTGGAACTTCTGTCTCTCTCACTTCCCAGGCACACAATGAGGACTTTTACTTCTCCCACCAAGATGTGCTGTTGCCACAGCCCAGAACAACAGGACTAACAAATTACACACTGAAACCTCTTAAAGCTGTGAGCCAAAATATAACTTTCCTCTTTCAAGTCGGTTATCTTAGTATTGTCTCACTGGTGGAAAGCTAATGCATCTGTACCATGCAATCACCGTAACTGCGGTCTCAAAAAAAGAATGACTGCATGTGCACTGGACACAAGTCAACATTTCGGGGCTTAGGAGGAGTTATCACCATCCCAGGACTGTCATCTTGTTTAGGGACCAGATAGATGCCTGGCAGTGTATGATGGTTAAGTCCACGTGCAGACTGGTATATGGGTAGAACAAAACGTGTAGCCGTAAATAATGGTTTGCATCCTCTCCTAAGATCTGAAGCAACAGCACGAACACTATACACACTCACACCACCCACACACACACCTGTACACACAGACAGTTGACAATACTTTGATACATATTGGAAAAGATGTTTACAAGAGTCCTCACTTAAGAAGGTTAATGTTTAGTAATTTATCTATTGTTTTACAAGATCAAATAGGGGATATACTACAGTAATACATACTATTTGTTAAATACATATTAGATAATCTGCCAGTCTTTTATATGTATTTTATATATAAACACACATATATGTGACACACAGAGAACAAAAACAGACACTATCTTAATTGTTAAGAATAACTGATACTCCTATTTTGAGAAAGAAATGGCTATCATGAAAAAAGTGAAGATCCAAAATTAAAGGCATACATAAAATAATTTAACAAACACCACATCCAGATATGTGTTTACATGTAAAGCATTATGCTGATGAAATAAATAAAAATCAGTGTTACAGTGAGGCATATCATACTGGCTTCTGGTTGCTATACATGGGCACGCGTCACCTGGTGTGTAACACAGGATATATTTCTAAAACAGTCCTGTGCTACATATTTTACATCGACAGCAGTCTGCTTAGGTACTAATGGTCCCATGAGATTATATCACTAAGTGATGTCAGTTGTCCTAGCTTGTGTAGAAATATTCTATGAGGTCCCTCAGCACACACACATGCACAGGCACACACACATACGCATCTAGTGATGCGCTTCTCAGAACCTGTCCCCATCATTAAATGACATATGGCTGTACTTCTTCATAGAGACACTATGAGTTTTAAACGGGAGCACAGAAAGGTCACTGTCTAGAGTGGTCGACACAGGCAGTCTGGCCCGAGAAACTACTCTTTTTCAATTTCTTTATTAGTCCATGCAGTACATGATGAACACATTCATGGCAGTGAGTTAGTGAATGGACATAAGACATCTTTGTTCTTTTTTCATCCCCTCCTCCTCTTCCCCACCTACATCTCTCGGTCCCCTTCCCATTTGCCAAAGGTCTCAAAGAAGACAGGAAATATGGAGAGAACTGTACTCTTAACATTTATACGCTATATTCCAAATGCTATTTGGGGGGATCTAAATTATAGAAACAGTATTCTTACAGAGAGTAAAAGAAGGAGCTGAGAGTTTGTTTGTTTGTTTGTTTGTTTGTTTTTTAAGGAAATGACTGAGCAGCCTGTTTAATGAGTCAGATAATCTACTGGGGACACAAATGAATAAAATGGAACCACCACTCCCAAGATGACACAGGCCAGCAAAAGACTATTACCTCTAATCCAAACATTAATTAGACTATCATACTGCTAATAAAAGGAAAACATCATGACAAACTACAACCTGGCTAGCTCTGAAGTGACTAAGGAGTTGTCAGAAGTTACATGGGAGTGAGTGTCGAGCTGTACACTGGTAGAATGCGCCACAAAGAGGCCGCATTTGCAAAGACATGGACACAGATCCTGGTGAGAAGCAGTTACTCGGGGTGAGGCCAGGGCTTCAGTCCTGGCTGAGAGAGGCAGAGGACAGGGTGGGCAGGCAGGCTGGGCTAAGGTGCTGTGTGGATCAAGCTGTGAAGGAAAGTCCACCATAATGTTAGGAGCTGGCGAGTTGTATTCAGCCAAGTACCATGGTAGGTTCAAAGAATTCAGGAAGGTGCTCCATAGTACCAAAAAGGTGAGCAAGATGGGAAAACAGTGACAGAATAAACAGGTACATCTAACTCATTAAAGCCAAAAGGGATATGATGATGTGTGCTTTTCTTTATAAATAAAATACAGATTTAAAAATACAATTATATTTGCAACATGTTAAATTCTAAAAATTAAAATCAAGTTACTTGGTCATTAGAACTTGTACTAATTGTTTTTAACTCTTCATGGCATAATTTTTATCACAGTCCCTCAAATATTAACATACACTGTTTGTTGGCTCATGTCAAAAACGTTACTTACAGTAGTAAATGAACATCACCCAGAGTCAAGTAAACAAAATATCCAAATATGAACCAGACCAAGAAGACCAGAGAACTCAATTGTAAGAGTTATTAACAAAAATATTCCTATTGGAAACTATTTCCATTATGAATTCCAACAGTCTTTCTTTGTGGTCCATAAAAGAGTGAGTCATATTTCTCATCAAAGCTAGCGCCTGTGGTTTGGAGTACATTGTCATCAAGGTAGGCAGTTCTGTATATCAGAAAACTAAGCCTCTCCCGAATGGAAGAGCTAAGACTTCACCTTGAAACATAAACCCCCAGCTGACAGGCAGCCTGCTTTTGTAGAAGCATTCAGGGCCCAGTCGGGCATAATCCTTTTGCCTTCAAAAGCCGGGCCAAAGTGTAGTAATGCTATACTCCCACAGACAGAGGGAAGATGGTCCCCCGTTTACTGTTTTCTAATCTGCTCTTTATCAGAATGTCTGAGGGTCTGGGTTGTAACCATACACTTTCATTAAAAAACAATCACCTTCCCCTCTCCATGTCAAAATGTTATCAGGAAGCCTGCATCTGAGATCTGATGTCTGACTGGCTGAACAGAGTTTTCTCCTGGTCCGCTGCCCTATCTGTTTCAGTAAAACGAAACCCTGCATGTACTGACATTTCCTCTTGGAAGACATTTCCTCTCGGTTTAAAACATGTTCTCTCCTACCAGCAGAGGGAGGCCTGATCCACTTCCTGAGCTCTGGGACTGCTCGATCAGGTCTCTCAGGGACTCTCCCGGAGGGATGTATGTCTCGTCCTGCTCCAGCCCGATGCTATACCGAGGTCTGGTTTCTTGCCTTTTATATCTAAACGTGATGGGGTAATTTCAGAAACCGAAATACAACGATGGGGTAAAAACTTTATAATATATTGATTTTAACACAGAAATAGTACTTCTTGTCTTCAGTTATGGTTTCTAAAGTACAAACCATAATTACTTTGCTGTTAATAAACATGTTTTTTACTGTCCCAACATTTAGAATGTTTTGTTTTGTTTGTTTGTTTAACTGCACACATCCAAACAGACTACATTCTATTAGATTTTCCAAACAGTTACAATATTTATTCCTAAACTATTTTCATTTGAGGTCCCTAATTAATTAGAAAAAAATCTTGGTTCACAGAAAACATTACACCTAACTCTGTCATATAAGATAATGTATAAAATGGAAAGAAGTTAAATAAAATCACACTTTAAATACATTGTTAATAGTTGTTTTAACTATAAATTTATTTGTATCAACTAATTGACCCATTTGCAGAATATTACAAATGAATATTAAATTGCTCAAAAGGCAAATAACATGGATGTAAAGGCCTTTAATATTTTACAAACTAGAAAATAAGTTATTAGGTTTCTGAAAATAATAATCACACTTAACTGAACTTATTCAATTTTAATATTTAATCAATAAATTATGTTTAAAATATCTTAATACCTTAATACAAAGGGAAATTTTTTAGCTGGGGAAATGAGGACTTATTTGAATCACTCTAAGTTCAATATGGTCTTTTCTTTGCTTAGAATTCAACTTTGGTAGCAAAAAGACCCTGAATCCCCCAGCTACCCTCATTTCCTTAGAGATTAAATATTTATGTAAGTAGTTTTGGGTTCTAAAGAAGAAATTAGGTATCTATTTATAACGTCATCGCAACAAGTATTTGTCAATAGTAATAGATATTTCCAGTTGAATATTAAATTTAATTAGGGACAAGAAAGCTGTGACTAAAAAGAGTAAGTGAAAGCAGAAGATTAGGATAAGGAAGATACTATAAATTCAAAATTCTACATCCATGTGTTAAACTCACCTGAAGTAGCAGAATAAAATAATAAGGACCAAGAGCAAACTACAGACAGTCACAGATATAAGTAACGCCTTGTGATGTATAGGTCCATCCACAAAATCTGAAAGTAAAAGAAAAAGAAAGACAGCTATGATACGGAGAATATTTCCACTTAAAAACGAGGAATCGCCTCTTTCCCAAAGCCCTTGCTAAGCATTATATGCGAGATATGAAAAAACTTTCAGCATGCTAATTTATAAGAAAAACCACAGGTATATTGCAAACTAAATATTAGACTAGCAGGGATCACTGTTCATCTAGGCACCTTTTTCAATAGCACACAGCTCCCCTCCGGAAGGAATAGGCTTGACACATGGTACACCCATGGGAAGACTATGTCCAAGGAAAACAGGTTGAAAATATAAGCAGAAAGCTCATAGTTACTCCAGACACAGGTGGTGGGTCCACAGGCCTTTCTCACATGGAACTGGAGCACTCTGTACTATAAATTCGAATTTAAAAAAATCACACCTTTATTCCCTGCACATAAAGGCAAAGTCATCCTCATGATGGCTACAAAGGCAGAGGCTCCTGAAATGCTGCCAAACAGAAGGATGTACATTACTTTAAACGAAGATGTCTTCAAAACCATTTAGCTTAACTTTTTCACAAATGGAATCACTTTTTTTAAAAATGGACAAGTTCTAGACAAAGAATGCACGATACTTTAAAAAACTAATTATTAAATATTTTTCACCGTGTCTTAACTATAGTTTTTTTTGTTTTGTTTTGTTTTGGTCCCCCAGGGACCAAACTCAGAACCTTGTGCTTATAAGGCAGGTGCAATACCAGTGAGCTAAATCCCTGGCCCTTTAACTGTAGTTCTAAATAAAACAAATTTATTTAAAGCATGCTTTCTCAAATTTTATATGACTAAGAATGATGAGAGACCTTTAACATAAATGCATATTTACATATTCTTAACCTCAGTAATTTTTACTCAAAGAATCTCCTTTTTTAACAATTCTCGTAAGCGAGTTTTATGCAGGTTGTCTCTGGGACAATTTGAAGAAAAATGACTGAAAATCAGGTGTACTTATATAACAGCAGATCTAGCACCATTTTAAAGGGCAAACTATATCCTTGAGAAGAGTGATTACTGTCACTTAGTAGTACTATAATTTATGACTTTGGTTCCAAAACAGGCTTTCCAACTGTGCTGTATGCTTGTACATGTATGGCCACCTAAATATTTTATATGCCAAGTGACTTATTGCAAGTTCTATAAAGAAAAACTGAAAATCATCAACTAAACAAAATCAGTACCTCCTTACCACTCAGGCCAACAGCTGAGCAATGCTATCTCAGTATTATTTCAATGAACAAAAGAAAGTTCGGGAGCAAAATATTTCACCATATTATATTGTTTTATAAGACTATTTTCATTTATAATATTTCAGGCATTTTCCAAAAGCAGCAAATGATTTTAAAGAATACATAGTATAGAGATGCCCAAATTAGAAAGCCAATCTTCTACTCTCGTATATTAGAAAAATTCGGAGATAATAACAATTCTTTACTATAATACGCAAAAGTCTGCAGTGAACACATTCACATCTGTCTTTGCACATGTTCATACCAATTTCTTTGTGTTCTAGAAATAGAATTATAAGCTCAATGTACATCTGTACCAAGTTTTTTCACTCATATTGTCAAGTATCTTTTTGAAAGACTGCAACAGTCTCTACAATCATTATCAATATAAATGTTATATTTGGAAATAATCTCAGCCTTGCAAAAAACTGTAAGAAAAAAAAGAACTCACATAAGCCCTTCACCTAGATTTCTCATTGTTAACCTCTTATCCTATTTGCTTTGTAATTCCCTTACTGTAACAGTGTCCCCATCTAAATATATACAATGTATGTATTTGTATTGAAGTTTACGTATTTGTATGTCTATACAATTTAAGATCATTTGAAGTTGTAGAATAATGCTCCTGTCATTTACAAACAGTTTGTAATATACTTCTTAGGAATGAAGACTTTGTCTTACAAACAGCAATACAATTAGCAAAATCAGGAAATTAACATGAACGTATGAATTCAAAGTAAGTCTTACTATAGTTTGAAACATTTCATGAAAGGTTCAGATTAACTATTAAAAACTGCACTCCACAGATCACCGTGCTTATTTCTTGTCCAACCTGTTTTTAAATGTTTTTCCAGATGATTTTATTAGGCCACGTTTGCAGTACATGCCTGCATTCCTGTGTGGAGCTGGTTCATGTACATAACTCATCTTCATTCCTCTTTTTACCCTCTTTCCCTTTTCATGGCCAATGTCATTACTTACTCATCAGTTTAAAATATGTATGTTTAGTGATTACGATTCATACTAGTCACAAAATATTAATGAAAGCAGGCATCATCTTCAAAGGCTAAGTGAAAGTCATAAAAAGAAGCAGTTTTATACAAACAAACTAAAAAACTCTGCCTACTGACCACAGAAAAAAAGTTTAGAAACTTTATCCACTAGATACTGTCCAAAAAACCATTGCAGCTTCACCCAGAGGCAACGTACAATTATAACATACCTTGTATGCACTGCTTAGTAAAACCTGAAACCATTATGTAGTTTTTAAAATTAAGCAGGCTGAAATTTTATACAATAAATTATCTTAGTAAATTTCCCCTGTGTTCCTTGCATATACACACAAAGACTGTCACTGATATTCCAATTTTTAAGATAACAAAAGTTTGATTTTGTAGCAAACCAACTCAACTAAAACTGGAGCTAACCACACAATCAGTAATATTTTCAGGCTATGAACACAGAATACATTTTCATTTTATTAAAACTGTCCATTTTCCTGCCATTTACTTTTCACAGAAATGTAGATTACAAATTACAGCCCGGCCTTTACTCATCTTATTATATTTCTGATTTATAAAAGCAGCAAGACCTCAGAGGATCCCAGGGATTCATCCCTTACCACTGAAGATTTTATTGAAGTGTAGCATTACCTCCCTATTTTTCTTTTCTTGCTCCAATAACCTAACCCTTCACCTTCATCTTCTGCCTCCTTGGCTTCCATCAGGAATAACTGATCCTTATCAAGATCCCTTTTGTTTCCGTTGGTCCCCATTGGTTGTGTTTTAATCTGCCATTACCTGTGCTCCCAGCATTAACAATGGAAAGCAAAACCTTCCAGATACCAATGGGGAAAAGAGCAGAGGCCACTGGTTCTTTCTGGGCAACAGGTTTTTACCTGCACTGTCCTCCAACTGCTCAGGGACTAGAACCAAGAACCCCTGGGGAAGTCAGGGTCACTGCAGCAGGAATGTAACGCTCACCAGTGGTTTTGGAACAAAACTGTGTTCTGTAGCCCTGCCTCCTCTCCAATAAGTAGAACAGTTAGTGTTTAACGGGACAGGGTTAGTTTTGTAAAGCTAGAAGATGGATCATAACAGCGACATAAAATAAAAGAATAAATCATCCTGGAAACAACCACTTGCCCAGAGACACTTTGATAGGGACTCTGGGTGTTAGAATCATGGGCCACAGGAGGCGTCTTTCTATGAGTAGAGCAAAAAGAATTTGAAAGCACACTCCTGCTGAAGGACCTTAACCAAAAAGCAGTAATGCACGCGTTTACTTTTGTTATGCATCAAAATTCCTTTTTATAGTGAGCTCTAGAAATAAATTACCTCTGTATGAACAAAGCATGATATACTCCTCATTCTCCTACATAAAGTGTGCAGGGTTATATTCCCAATCACAAAACACATTAACATATTTGCTTCAAAAAGCAAATTACCTCTAAATTCTTCTCATCTGTCTGACCAAAAAAAAAAAAAAAAAAAAAAAAGACTGAAATTCCAAAACTGACCATTTCAAGAAATAGTAACACTACTCTCCTGCAAGGACTTTGGCTCAGACTGATCAGTTGGTCCGTAATGCTTAGGCACAATGTGTGTAACAGAAGGTGAGCTTGAGCTCCCACATTTGCCAGACACTCGAGCTGGACAATAAATACCATATACTTAAGAGATGCTGAGGAGAAACTGATGTTTCACTGGCTCAATACTAGTTTCCTGGAGAGTCGCTTCTAATTTGCACTAATGGGTAACATTTTTAAACAAATCTGTATGCTGCCTGAACTACAGTTATCTTAATTGAAATAAAAAGGAAATAAAAATAAATTTTAACTTTGCAAGTTCTGCATTATAATTTGCCTTAAACTACATAGAAATAACCATATTCATAAGCAGAGGGCTATTTCAGACAAATTCTTTATTAAGTCAATATGTGACATACTCAAGTAATTTCTGTAAACATCTAAATTTATACTGACTTTTTTTAAATAAGTAGGGGTTTTATTTACTGCATTTTAACACCAAGTTATCGCTTCCTTAATGTTCACTTTAAAAAGTGAGGATAAAGGATTGGGGATTTGGCTCAGTGGCTCCGCCGCCTGTCTCGCAACTGTAAGGGCCTGAGTTCGAGGCCCGGCACCAAAAAAAAAAAAAAAAAAAAAAAAAAAAA